TCTCTGCAGGCCACCTCTGTAAAGGGGTGTGTAAACTTGAAGAACTCAGGCTTTTTCAGTTAAAATCTTCACTTGTATCTCAGCACAGCAAACATGCCTGAACAAAGCAATGATTACAGGGTGGTTGTGTTTGGAGCCGCAGGGGTTGGCAAAAGCTCCTTGGTCCTTCGTTTTGTAAGGGGAACTTTCAGGGAAACGTATATCCCCACAATCGAAGATACCTACCAGCAGGTGATCAGCTGTGATAAGAGCATCTGCACCCTTCAGATTACAGACACCACGGGAAGCCATCAGTTCCCTGCTATGCAGAGGCTGTCTATATCCAAAGGGCATGCTTTCATCTTGGTGTACTCTGTCACCAGCAGGCAGTCCATGGAAGATCTTCAGCCCATCTTTGAAGAGATTTGTCAGATTAAAGGGGACATCCAAAAAATCCCAATAATGCTGGTGGGTAACAAAAGTGATGAGACCCAGAGGGAGCTGGATGCCAGCGAGGGGCAAGCATTAGCCAGCAAGTGGAAGTGCTCCTTTATGGAGACATCAGCCAAAATGAACTACAATGTGCAGGAGCTCTTCCAGGAGCTCTTGAATCTGGAGAAGAGGAGAACTGTCAGTCTCCAGGTGGATGGAAAGAAATCCAAGCAGCAGAAAAAGAAAGATAAACTGCAAGGCAAGTGCTCTGTTATGTGATTCACTTTGGCTGGACTCACACCACTGCATGGTGTAATCGGAGCATGGACTCCCACAGAAAATACATTTCTGCTGGAGGTTTCAGGCAAATCCATGCCTTACAGGGCTATTGCTTTTCTCGAAAATCTCTGCTGGATTATTTTATGTGTTGGTTTTAAAGAGGCTGGCTTTCTGCATGTGTATGTTTTTTAAAGTAATAAACGTTCAATGTTAGTAATTACATGTGACTAGAGGTTTTTAATGCAAGAAGTTTACAGAACTTTATTCCTGTGAGTACATGCTAGTTTTCAAGTATTTCCAGCCTATTAGCTTAAAAGAAATCATGGTATCTATAATGTGTATACTTCAAAAATTGTTTGCAGGAATCTATTGACCAGAGCAAATCTTTAACAAAGCTAGGCATTTGCACTGCAAATGAACATATATGTGACTCCAGATGTTTACATTTCTGGCAGACAGACTGACTTGCCTACCCAAGATGCATTTTTTTCGTGGTAAAAGTTAGGTTTTCCTGTGTACTATGCAATTCCTGAGACTTCTGCAGTTCTGTGAGTGATTAAAGCTATACCTGCATTATAATCAGGCTGTTCGCTTTTCCCCCCCCTTTACTCTGACTTCCCCTGTTCGCTGGGGTAGGAGGTTCCACGTGCTCTGTCTCCAAATCCAGGTGTGATTCCTGGCATCCTTAAGCAAGAGCTGCCTCCTCCATGAAGGTAATTAGGCTGGTTTAAGTACCGGTTGATGTAGTGGTTGGTTATCCTGGCAGTTCGCCTTTCCTTTCTCAACTGTCAGTCTGGTTTGCATGTGGCGGAAGCTACTTTTGCAATCTTCCTGGAGTTCCCTTAGGTATCCCCCCCCCCGCTCTTGTTTCATCCCAGTTACCCAGGTTTTAGTTGAGGCTTATGACAAGTCAGTTCAGGTAACACTGCTTCAGGAAGAAACATCTACACCTGGAAGCTGCATGTTTAAAACAAACTCCTCTCTGACAGAAACTTTTAGCAGACACTTCCCACAAATTAATGGACAAGACACATGGGTTTAGTCTATCTCTTGTCTACCCCCTCCACCCCAGCTTTTTGGTGGTTTTGGCTATTGTTAGCAAGACACAAGCATGATAAGCTTCATCTGCAGTGTATGGTTGAGAAAGATTTCAAGAAAATAAGTGCAAGTATTTGCTATCAGCCTATGCCGTAGATCTTTTACTCTGTGTATATATTAGTCCAAGCAGAAGACTGTAAGGACTTCAGTATTGCACTGCAGGTTTGATTTTTACACAGCAACATGGTCTTGACACAGATGTGGGAGAGAGGCATTTCTTCTTTTTATAGCACTTCTCTAGTGAAATCATTTTATTGTTGAAGATGAATAAAATATGGAACAGGAGATGCTGGAAAGTATGGACCCTTTCTTAATTTGAAAGTATTAGTGTCTATTAACTGCTGGTTTTCTAAGCAAGATGCTAGGGATGGGCCTGTTCTCTCAGCCATTATTTGTTGTATTTGTTGCAGAATGATACACAAAGCCATGAGGCTTGTATCCATGTTAATATCTCACATATTTGAACAACTCTTACAGTCAGTGCTAGCTCCCGATGCTCTGTTGTCTCCTGTGTCTGTCTGTGAGCTGCTTTTCTGTCTCCTCAGGCTGTTCCTACAGAAACATAAGGGGTCAGCTGGCTCAGTGTGTGCCAGGGGAGTTTGCCCCAGTTACAGCTGGAGCCCTCATGCCATTTGATTCAGCAGAAAATTGTACTCATTATGATTTCGGAAGCCCAAGCAAGTTCTGCATGAGTGTACGGTACTGACTGAAATGTTATCCTTCCTTGCCAAAATAAAGTGTGGATTTGCCTAGCTGGTACAAAGGCTCTACGCCTGATTTTTCTTATTGGAGATGATATCCCACAGGTCCCGTGAGCTTCCTGTGCTGGACTGGTGGTGCTGGCTGGTGTAGTCCTCTCTGCCACTGCTGTGTGTAACCTTCACTTCTGTTGCAGTCAGGGGTGAGTCAAGCTGAAGGGTGGTTGTAGAAGCAGCCATAATGGCTTTGCTGGAAAGTAACTCTTGCTTTTTCCTCTCTAACTTTGTGCATGGATTTTGATCTCTCTGTTCTTTCATTTCCAAGCAGTTATGCAATGCTTCTCTGTGGGTCGCTTTTAGCATCTGGCAGTTATTACTGCAAAGACTATTTTGGTTGCATTCTAGCCTTTGAAACCCCTATAAGACATTTTACATTTAAGCATTTTTAAAATGTCATGAGACCTAATAATGTCTCTACAACTCCCACTGCCTTCACGGAGATGCCTGTGCAAAGGCAGGGCAGCGTGTATCTGTGATTATTCACAGAGCCGAGGTGTTCTGTAATGTGTCATTATCACTGCGGTGTTTTCCCTGTACGTGGCATGGAGATCACTGAGGACTGGGGTCTGGCAGAGCACAAGGCACAACTAACATGAACAAAATGGGCTCAATCCCTCCTGTGCCTGACAGAATTGCTGGCAGATCCCCCAAGCTGCCTTTGGTGGCTACAAGAGGAGGTCCCACGGGACTGCGTGGGCAATGGAGATGCTCGGGTGCTCCTGGTGATGCAGGATGATGGTGTGGGGGCATCAGCACCCCAAGTCCCAGACTAGCAGCCTAGAGCGGACTGGGAATGAGTGACGCCTGGTGTGGCTGCCTTTCATCCCGTGTAAATCATCTGTGTTTTGGCTGTGCTAGATCAATTGTATTGTAAATCGAAACCGTATTAACAAATAAATTATGTATTTGTTTCCATATAAACTGAACTAGTCTGCGTTTTGTGTGTGTGTAATATATTGTTCTTATAAGAGGCAAAGTTTATTTTAATTGAACTGATGCCTGTCAAGATGTTGGCTATTAAAAGTTCCATACAAATCTAAATTAAAGGGCAGTATCTTCACAGTCTTCCAGGGAGCTATGTAGAGCCTTACTATAGTTAGTAACAGAGTGAAAAATACGATATTGCTCGGGGATGCTCATTAATCGTTATGAAACAGTGGCCACATTCCCCTTGTAAATGGATGTTACTTCATAAATGTTGTATTCGGACCTGCTTCCTCATAACCAGGATTTGGTGGGTTTGTGTGTGCTGGGACAGCCAGTGGCATCATTCTTCTTGTGCTCTTATAACCAGTAGTCTTGGGCTAAAGTTATTCTGGAGTGATGGCATAGCTGTAGAATTATGGCCCTCAGACTAACTCTGGAGAATAGCTGAAGATCCATTTTTTTTAGGGACTGATGGGTGAGTCTTTGCTAAAACCATACTTGAAGTCATAGGTGCCTCTTACAGATGCCATTTGAGGGGTTTATTGCACACATCCTTAAGTTTTATTTCTCATGTAGGACCATTTTGCTGAATTAAAGGAATAATGATTTTTCTTTAAGTATTAAAATATTTTGTAGCGTAAGAAGTATATGTTGGAAGTAACTGCTTTAGCCTCTTTTGAATAAGTGCAGTTTCAAAAAGTGAACAGGTCTGGGGTTTTGTTTGTTTGTTTTAAAAAAAACAGAAGATATTCAGGTGAAAGAGATTCAGGTAAAATCATTTGTCTGGAGTAAACAAGCAGTTCTGATCTCTGGTACAGCTCCTGTATTATGTTACAGACTTTGTCCTTAACTGCTGTTTGCCAACAGCATGCTTTTTCATGAGGTGGTGACAACATGTTTTTTATGGAGCTATTTATGCATCCTGTAAACTCTTCAGCTTGGAGACATGCCTTGACACACTGTTCATATCTGGCAAGCAGGATGGTAACTCACCATTTCTCAAGTAGGTTGTTTTTCTCTTTTTTTTTTTAAATTTTTAATTTTTCTCATTCAATCAAACTTCATTCAGTCGCAGAACTCACTTTTTATGAAATGTTCTTCACAAGTTCAGATGTGGTAAGACAAGGTCATGGAAGACGCTGATGCAACTTGTTGAGTTGCTATTAATGCCTCCATAACATCTTTCCAGGATCACGAGATGAACACAGTTGACTGTCAAAATTCTCTGTGAAACATCTTGAATGAATCATGAGACCTGTCGGTAGCCTGGGTGGCTGGGTGAAGGCTGAGACATTCCAGGCAAAGTCACTGCGTTTACTTGCTACCCTCTGTCTCAGGACTTAATGAGGACTGGCAGTTCCTAGCTTTGACCAGCTAGGTATGTATTTACAGCAATAACTTAACCCCGTCTTTCAGTTTCTCCACCAAGCAGCTGCTTTTAAGTTGGAAGCAACGTAGAATGAGTGGAGCATTAATACAGATTTTCCTTAGATTTGTGTTTCAGAATCTCAGGCTTGCTTTAAAGCTTGGCTCAAATTTTGCTCTTAAAAATCAATTTCTTGCTTTCTACTACTGTAGCGCTCTTAAATAATTTTCAGAAACAGCATTGCAGTGCATTTCTGAGAACTTGTTAAGCAATATTCAGACTAGAAGGTGTCAAATCAGAAGTGTTTTAATGGACAGAGATAATGGCACTGCAGGCCTTCTCTTTCTTTGCTGGAGGAAAAATATTACAGTACCTTTCATTTTAAAGCTGTTCCAAGGTTTCCTCTCTGCAATCCAGAAATTAAAACATTTCTCAGTTAGTAATACTGATTATTTCCATGCAACACTTGTCGACTGGCTTGAGGCAGCTTCCTTCCTGAGTCTAGCCAACAAAATTAGTGTCAAGAGAAAATACCAAGGAGGAGAATCACGAACGGCTCATCTGCGACTTGCAAGAGAAAAATGTGAGCAGTAGCTGGAGTGTCCACCCACACGTATTTTAAAAACAAGCAGACAGAATATTGCTATATTCTAATTCCTCTTCCCAGAGCAAAGCTGGCACATGATTAATGTAACAAACAGCTCTGAATAATAAGCAATATTGCTTTATATGCATGGTCCGTAGCTACAAGGTACTTGGCGCACTCTAGAAGAGTAAAAGTGCATCTTAATCATCGTCTACCATCTTCTGCAGTTTCTGTGGCGTAAATTAAGTACGTCAAAAGCATCTAAGAGCTAATGAAAATGCTAAAGACAGCTTAAAACTAATTGCAGCTTCGCAGCCTCCTAGTTAATGGATATTGCTGCATGCTAGGCTAGCACTGCTACACCTGATTGTTTCCTTTTTCCCCACTTTTGAACATCTATCTAATAATGCAAAAGAACAGGAGGAGCAGAGAAAGGAGGGGAAAGACCAAAGTACCAGCACTGCCTTGGCACGGTCGCTTTTCTT